TTGTGATAAGTAAAAATAATTTCAATAATAAGTACGCTCCGTTTGTTTTGGTGGAAAACTTTTTTGAAATTTTTTTTTTCATAGAAAACATTTGTTTTATGTTTGTTTGTGTTCTTGAAATCAAGGTACTACTAGTTACATTAGTGGTAGTGGTAGTGACGATAGTAAGGTGTAGGTGGAAGTTATAGCGGACCGAGCTTAGACCAAATCATTTTATACTCTTTTGTATAGTTTTGTACATATTGGTATGGTTGATATCTATCCTAGTCCAATGTTATCTTTTGAGTTAAGTTTTAGGATTTGTTTGAGTTATGTTGAAACATGTAGGATTTGGGGTTTTTGGGAAAGTTTTGGTTGTTTGTTCTTAGGTTTGCTTGAGTGCTGTTTTGGCGCTTGAGTGGTCTTTCTTTTCTCTCAGTTTTTGAGTTTGCAATCTAAACTTTTGGGAGTAGGGTTTTTTTTGCTTAAGGAGTCTGTTTGTATTCTGAACTACTGAGAGTTTGTTTTCTTCGCTCGAGTGGTGTTTTAGTCGTTCAAGCGGTCTATTCTACAGGGTTGATCTTTTGGGAGTTTGGTAGGGGTGTAAATCTAGCCTGGCCAAGCCCATGTCGGGTCTCGCGGGCTCCCATCAAAATTTGGGCTGGGCCGGGCTGACCAACGGGCCAAAAATTTAGCCTAGGCCCAGGCCCAGGCCCAAATGTACTCGGGTTTTGGACGGACTGGTGGGCCGGCCCACTGGGCTTGGGCCTAGCTTAGGCGGGCTTGACTATTTTTTTTATTTTTTAAAATTTTTTCTATCAAAATTTTATTATTTTCCATTAAAAAATACACTAGGCCCTAAGTGGACCGGGCCCTAAGTGGACCTTAAATGGGCTGATGGGCTAGGCCAAATGGGTCAAGCCCAAGAGCTAGGTCGAGCTTCAAAACGATGGCCCAAGGGCTCGGGCTGGGCTTGGGTTTGGGCCTAAGCGGGTCGGGCCCATCCTTGGCCGCAGTAGGGCCTCGGGCCGCCCACGAGCCATGAGCCATTTTTACACTCCTAGAGTTTGGTTTCTTCACTCGAGCCTAGTTTTGGTCGCTTGAGCGATTTCTTGTTTGACGCTTGAGCGGTGTTTTGATCACTCTAGCGGTCTATTTGTGTAAAGCTGTAAGAAAAGATCTTTTTACTCATTTTTTTGGATTCATTCTCTCTACAAATATCTAAAACTCCATTTTCTCTCATCTCTCTCTAAATTCTTTCCTAAAACTTCTGATCTACTTCAATCTGTAAATCTTGTCACCATAGTGTGTTGTGATTAAAGGTAAAGCTTGAGGAGAGGACCATTTTAATCTAAAAATTTTGAGTTTCGTCTTTGTCAATTTTGGGGTTTTGTTCCTCTTTTCATCTAATTTTGAGATAGAAATTTCTTTACTGGTTTTAATGTTACTTACTTTCATTATGTGTTAGTTGATTAAACTAGACTTTGGAAAGCTTTGGTTTTGATTAGGGGTTTGAATTGATTCACAAAGTGGAGTTTTGGGATGTGTGTCTTTGAAATATTGTCAGAATTGTTTATGGTATTTGGAATTGAAGAAATTGTTTTAAAATGGAAAATGTTGTAAGAAATATTTGTTTTGGTTTTATGGAAACCCTTGATGATTCTTGGTTTGGAACACAAAGAAAAATGATGAAATCTTTGGAAAATATTATGGTTTGGTTTGAGTTGGAAAAAGGTTAGTTTGAACATATGATTGTTGTATGTTGAAGTTATGGAAATTATATTTGTCCCTTGAAATCTTTATTTTAGAAAAAGATATTTGTTTTTGGCTATTGATGAATGATAGCATTGCTTGTTGTAGAAATTGCTTGTGAACTATTTTAATTGGAATCCAATCACTCATGTATTCAATTTGAACATTGGTTTTATACTTATGCATTGAAAAACATTGTTTTGAGAAAAATTGGTGAATATCGTGGTAAATCTAATTAGGGGGTGTGATTATGATTAATTAAGTTAACCTATGTGCCCTTGAAAAAAATCCAAAAACATGTGCGGTTAAAATGTCTTCCTTCTAGTTAATTATCGATGAAATGGCTTTGGTAGTACGTTTTTAGTCTACTTACAGATATGTATCTAGAGATTTCTAATGCGTGTATTTACTGCCATGTTTTCTATTTTGAGGGAAAAGAAATATACTAATTGTGATTTACACTCCATCATAACATATTTTAAAAAGAGAAAACGCATGTTTTGGTAATAGCATTCTTGTGCATTCACCATATGGCATTGTTAAGCATTATATAGATCACTAAAATTATCTTTACTGGGTTTTAACTCACCCTATGTGAAAACTAACTTTCAGGTGCTGATAATATGCTTTCATCAAACCATATGGCATTGTTAAGCATCATATAGATCACTAAAATTATCTTTACTGGGTTTTAACTCACCCTATGTGAAAACTAACTTTCAGGGGCTGATAATATGCTTTCGTCAAGGAGATAGCTTTGGACGATATTGGAGCTGAACGCTCATTTCTATTTTGTAAATATATTTTGTACAAGCCTAGGGTTTTCTTGTATTGGGTTTGACCCACTTTGTTGTAACCAAGCGAAGTCTTGGAAACTTTTAGCCTGTAGGGCATAAACTTGTATCTATTTACTATTATTTTTATATATCTATCACATGTTATCGATTCATGATTTAGGATTGATAAATGTATTAATGCATGTGACATCTCTTGTAATGTTTAAAAAACATCAATGAATGAATGACAGTTTTGAATTCAAAGATGTGAACGACCTTTGAATGGTTGGGATTTGGTAGGCTTCCACATATCTGTTGAGAGTTATAAGAGTTATCAGTTATTATTTTCAGGGTGTTACAGAAGTGGAGGTGTTGGGCGTGGTAGTGGCGGTAGTGGTGTAGTAGCGACGGCGGTGGCGGCGACAGTAGTGGTGTGGTGGTAGTAAAGAGATAGAGATGGTCGTAACAGTGATTGTTGGGCAGTGAAAGTGGTGGCAGAGACGATGGTGACAGTGATTGTAGCCATGATATAGTTTGGAAAATATTTTTCACCTTTTAATACTGAAAAAAACATTTTATACCCAAATAGACTTATTTTCCATTAACAACAGAAAATGTAAAAAATGATTTTTAAAAAATATTTTTCACACGAACAAATAAAACATTCACATAAGTAAAATCAATTCTAATAGTAAATACAATCACAAAAACTGACATCTGTTTCTGAGTGACCTACTGTCTGAGTTTTTGATTTATTCATTACAAATCACACTACAACAAATTTGGGATTTAAAGACGAAACAAATTTGTCCCAAAATGTATATATTTCGTCACCCAAACTAATTACGACGAACATTTTTCGTCACCCATTTTGTCTCCAAAGGGTCGTCGCTAAAGGGTCTTAGAGACGAAAAAAAAAATTCGTCATTGAAAATGATAAATTTGTGACGAATTTTTTTTGTCTCCAATACACTCTGTTGGGAACATACTTATAAGTAATTAGCGAAAAAATATTTTTTCATTAAAGGAGAAATTAGAGACAAAATTATTTTGTCATAAATATAAGAAATAGAGATGAAATACTTTTGTCACGTTTAATATAAACGAAGACGAAAATTTTTTGTCAAAGAAGCTACCAATAGAGACAAAGCAAATTCATCATTAAAAATGATGAAATAATGTCAAAAAAAATTCGTCACACATTGAGGGTAATAGTGACAAAATGTGACAATATTTTTTGTCATGACAAATTCATTTAGCGATGAAATAAAGAATTTATGACAAAATTAATCATCCACCTAAGCCAAACAAGAGACAAAAAAACCTTCTTTAGGGATGAAAAATTTTGTCAATAATTTCATAATATTTTTTTCCACATTATATACCTATTTTATCAAAATCTAAATTTTAGTTCAACAAATATGACCCTGTTCATGTTGAAACCTTTTGAATATAACAATTCCATCACAACTTAACCTAACCTGTTATCAACACATTTATGAATTAACAAAATAAAAATATCCATTCATCATTACAAATAATTTCATCCTGATATAATAAAATAGTGAAATATCCACAAAATATCCAAAAGTTATAACTTGTTTAATTCCACCAAAAATCCAACAATAACTAGTGTAATTGTATGTGTATCCTTATCAAACAAAAATGAACATTCAAACAAACTACATCATTGTTGCACGTCAAAAATGCCACCCCAATCCAATTTGCAAAAAAATAAATTAAAAGGTTTAGTAATAAATCAATTATACAAAAGATTAAAAACATTAGTAACTCATCAATTTACAATTAGACCAATTATACAATTTACCCCTGTAACAGACTTTTTTTTAGATTATGAGAACAAAAAATTAATTTTAAGGCTAATTCACAAATGGTGCATCCCATTAATGTGCCGTAAGCTCATACAACTTATATTGGTCCCTCCTAAGGTGTTTCTATTGGTTCTTGTACAAATCTGTAATTGTGTGATAATTTAACATTTCGACAGCCTTTTTTCAAGCTTTAAGTATAGAGAAAAAAATATATTTTTTAGACTAATTCACAATTTATACATCATGTGCACCTGTACAAATTGGATGTCATATGCATGTTTCCATTACTTCTGTATTCTTTTATAAAATTTGTTTTTACCATTTACTTATCATAGAACAAATTAATTACAAAGCCATCAGACAAACAATATGACCAATCAATGATAAACCTACATAACAGTGGATGAACCCCACAACTGAAATTCAAATACATTAATTAAGAACAATGTTCATATAGAAAGTGCAAAATAACACCTTTTAAGTGTGATTAAAAATATTTAGATCACACCTTTTAAGTGTGATTAATAACATTTAGATCACACCTTTTAAGTGTGATTAATAATATTTAGAACACATCTTTTAAGTGTGATTAATAATATTTAGATCACACTTGTTAAGTGTGATTAATAATATTTAAATCACACCTTTTAAGTGTGATTAATAACTAATAAAACCTGTGATAATAAACATTTAGATCACACCTTTTAAGTGTGATTAATAGCTAATAAAACCTGTGATAATAAACATTTAGACCACATATTTTAAGTGTGATAATATCTAATAAAACCTGTAATTAATAATGAGATAAGATCACACTTTTGTATGCACATTTAAAAAATGTAACACACACTATATACTATATTTTGAATGACAACCACATATTTAATGGAATAACGCCATATATTTCATAAATGAAAGTTAAATATTCAAAAGTATATACAAATGAATTAATAAAAAGTTTTAACGATGATTACATATTTTAAAAAAAGAAAAAATTTTAAAAAAAAACTAAGTTCTTGAATTCTTTGACCATATTTTGCATCTCTCCCTAGAAATTACTAACCCGAAAAATAAAACACAAATTTATTCAGAAATCACTAGAAACATATGAATAAACTTACTATTTGTAGCGACTGTTCTAGTCTTAAAAAAAATAAAGTCGGACATTTTCTTATCACACTGACTCTTTATCTCCCGCATCAATAGAAAAATAAAATAAAATAAAATAAAAAAACCACTTTGACTGTTACTAGTATAAAATGTTTGGATTACCATATAGATATGACATATGCATAGAATCAACAAATCCAAAATGAAAATCTTCAGTGCATGGCCAAATATTTTAAAGTCAAAAAACCAAAATAAAAGAAAACTATTGTTTAAATATAAAAAAAAAAAGAAAAAAAAATATCACATGGCATTAGAAACGATATAAGCCCAAGCAGTGCTTGTGTGCAAGTCTAATCCTTAAGGAATACTTACAGAGCTGTGAAGTGAATCAATCAATTGCCCTTGTTCTTCAGCTCTCGCTATAACTTAGGTAGCAACCTCATCAGTGTGTTTCTGAAGTTCTACAATATACACAAGAAAATACTACAATATACACCAGAAATAAGACCCAAATTAATACAAATTAAAAACAAATACCTAAGTTTCTTGCTTGTTATGATATAAATGACAAACCTCATGGCCAATAACTCATAAAATTGCAGCATAATCTGCATCTGTAGCAGTTCTGGAGATGCCAACACAAGCTTGGAATTGAATCTGTGTCAACAACCAAGTAAAAATGTGAATATAATGTTAGTATACCATCTTAAGCTCAAGAAAGGATGTAAAGTATTCAAAAATGGACAAAATGCTTTGCACGCATCAATCCTGATAGAAATTACCATCATAATGATATGAAAATGGCAGTTTTGGAAACATAATCCTGACAACTTATTTTGATGTAATAGGTAACTCATTTTCCACATTAGTATGTATGCAAATATGGTTACGTTTTTCTTCATATAGAACAATTAGAAAAAATGGAACGAGAGGTTATATATTTCACCAGAAGAAATGATCCCAATAGATTTCGGTTGAATGCTTGTTCCAGTACAGCAATCTTATGTCCTGGGATGTAATCAGACAGCATTAGGATTGCTAAGACTTGCAAAATTGCAAAAAATTTAAGAGGGTTGAATAGTTTTAATTAACAAAGAGTACTCCATAACCATTGCCTATTTGATTAACACGGTGATGGGGAACAAGAAGAGATTGGACGAAGATTAAAGATTTATTTTGATGATATCTTCTTATTTATAATTTAATAGGTTTTATTGTTTTATTACTCTAATTATGATAGTTTTCTTTTTGGTTACTATCAAATAGAATTTTTTTGGATGCCTATAAATAGGTCTTTTATGTAATAGTTTCATAGACTATGATATTGAATTAAATTTTGAGATATTGAGAATAGAGAATTAGAGTTTCTTTTATGAGAAATGCTAAAGACCCACAATTTAAGTCCCACAATGATATGGCAATGAGATTGGGCCTTGCATGATTGAGTTTGTGACAAACAAAAAATTGGCACATAACTTGCCATATCATTGTGGGTAAATTGTAGATCTCAATCTTTTTCCTTCTTTTATTTTGTATGGCCTTTCTTTTATTTTCTTTTAGTTGTTCTATTCTCGCCGGTTGTCCAGCATCATAAAGCCTTATTGCTTCTCACCTAAACATTGACTTCTATAAATAAAATCTATAAATATAATAGAGAGGTTTAGGGCATTAAACTTTCACCAAAAAACTAATTAAAAATAATAATTCTAAGGTTTATTACTTCATAAGAATTTTATTTCAATGATTAATTCAACATATATTCAAATATAAAAACCAAAAGGCTAATAACTCGCAAAAGGAAAGCAATCCCAATCACTCAAATTAGCTTCTAGATAAACAAACAAACACAATGAATCATTGACACCGGATATACAAGTCAACAAAGGCAAAACCATCAGTTATGCTGGTTTCTCAACAAGTTGCAGAACAGATAAAACCATCATATTTGAGAAGTTATTAGCAGAAAGAAAAAAAGAGAATAACTTGGAGATTTTGAGCTAATACAAGAGTAACATAAGCTGCATTACACTGCAATAGAATTGCCCGTTAGTTTTAATAAAATTTTATATTTATAAATGAGAATTGAGATTTTCTTCTTCTTTTTTTGGGGGGGTGGGAGGAAAAGAGGGGGGGTAGAACCACTACACTATCACGACCAACTATACCAAATCCTTTATCATATTAAAAAAATGACTTCACCCTGGGGCGGATAGCGGGAATCGAACCCGCGTCTTCTCCTTGGCAAAGAGAAATTTTACCATTCGACTATATCCGCATTTGATTTTTTTTTTTCGTTCTTGATACGCAATATGTCCACACATATATGATATATATGGATTATATTTGTGTAGTGCCGGGCCAGAGACTCTCTTCAGGGCGATTCCAACTATTTTATTAATTTTTTTCATTTAAATAGTTTGACCCCCCTCTAAAGAATATTGAAAAAGCGTTCCCCCTTTTCCAAAGATTACTGATTTATTATGTTAATTAAGTTATAGAAACTTCCAACTATGTCAAGAAAAGGATTATTTTTCTATATATAATAGAGAGGGGTTTGGATATTTATATAATTCATTTCATTATTCTTTCGAGTACAATACTTCCGTAGATTTCGCTTCGTTTATTATTTAGTTCAGTTTTAGTTTAGGTTTATTCTGTAAAATGAAATTTCAAATAAAAGAAATAAATATCAATTAAGAATAAGGAGTCTTTATGTCGCGTTACCGAGGACCTCGTTTCAAAAAAATACGCCGCCTGGGGGCTTTACCAGGACTAACTAATAAAAAGCCTAGATCCGGAAATGATCTTAGAAACCAATCGCGTTCCGGGAAAAAATCTCAATATCGTATTCGTCTAGAAGAAAAACAAAAATTGCGTTTTCATTATGGTCTTACAGAACGACAATTACTTAAATACGTTCGTATCGCCGGAAAAGCCAAGGGATCAACAGGTCAGGTTTTATTACAATTACTTGAAATGCGTTTGGATAACATCCTTTTTCGATTGAG